CCCATTTAAAATCCACAAAACCATTTAAATCTACGTCAACTTATTTCCCTAACCATAATATAAAACCATCGGTCTGTTTTGTTTAATTAGATTGGCCATTATACATCTCTCCTCTTAATATACCTTGATTCTATGTTTTCGCCACTTCTAGTTCACATTACATTTTTTTTTAAATGAGGATTCAAAAATTCAATTTAAGATTCCTCAGGTATATGTGGCCGACCAATTTGGTCTTTTGTTTGACCACACGTACATATTTCTTGTGGATAGATAACTGATTTAATCACGTGTTATGCGAGAAAATTATGATGTATACAATATTCGATTGCGAATTGATTTAACTTTTATGTGTTAACTTAATTCATGCATTAATGCTGTATATGTTGGCATCCCACTTGGAGGCACTCCACCAGAGGCTCATCTCCGAATTATCGAAGCTCTCTAGCCGAAGTGTTGGCATGGAATGAAGCCAAATATGAGGCTCTATCATGGAATGAGATGACCTACATCCTCTGAAGATCTACTATTGATAAAATTCTATTCGAATGATTGAGATGATCCCTGTAATGAGTAATATGTTAGTCTTGTCAACAAGGTTGTAGCGTATTTACCCCTTTGTAAGAGCATTAAATGTGCTACAGGCTAGAGGTTCAAATTGAAGCCTAGGATATGATGCTTCGGTTCAGGAGATGAAGCCACGCGTCTCTTCATCCAATGTATATCATTTCACTTGTAACACTATAAATACCCCATCCTTGTGTCATTGAAAGGATAATGCTAATATATTAATTTAAAGCTACAAATCCTCTTTTTGAATGATAGAGTTAGACATTTGATTTTAGCTTTTAGTTGTGTATTGTTGATTGTTCTTTATTATGAATCTTGTTTATATATGTCATTGGTGCCCAAACATTTTTGTCTCGCGTTATAAAGCTTTTTCCCCATCCAAACCCAAGGCATTGTTGATTGGTAATTTGTCCAAACGTGTTGGAATTAACTTGCATAGATACGAGTATGCCCGGTTTCTGTTATCCATATCAATGGTACAAAAAAGAGGTCAACAGATTGGCGCTATCTGTGGAAAATACCACCTCGACCATTTTCGTGGAAAAATCTCGCTGTAAAGTTGTTGGGCATCCCCTTTAAAAATGACTTGTTCTTGAATAAAGGACAAGTGGAAACCCCAAAGCAAGGAGTTAGAATTTGAAAATTTTAGTCACCTAAGAAGATAAGTTTTGACCACGATGTTCCTCCTAGAAGGGTGAGAGAAAACCTTGAAGAGGGTTTCCCAAATAGTAGTCCCAATAGCTCGGTGTCAACCTCAACACCATCATAGGCGAGATGGAATAAGGGTGGCTGCCCAACTCACCGGAAAGATAACAACGATGGATACTAACATGAGAAATATTACCCACCAAAACATGGCCACGCAAGAACTTCTCAGGTAAACTTAAGGCCAAGGGGGTCAACCAATTCTCCCTTTGCACCATAAGGCTAGTATCCATAGGACGATTAAGTCTAAAGCTAAAGAACTCCATCCCACTCGTACATGAAAGAAGATAGTCCCCTTAAGACGGAATTGGGGGTGGACATCTTTTCGAATAATGCCTCGGCTGGCCCACCAAGGCCTTTGTGAACATGGATGACAATTTTTTACCCAGAATACGAGCCAGAGCATATACGTCAAAGGTCGATCAATGTGTTTGATCGACTTAGCCTGACAGGATCTAGGCACATGTCGTACCAATCGCTCCAACGCCTAGAAATAGGCCTTAGCCACTACCTCCCACTGCAAAACAGTATGATGAGAGGCAAGAACATCCCCCAAGGACTATACTGCCTAGAAATAGGTGCCAAAGAAGGGAGGAGGTGGCAAGAGACCAGGTATGCCCACCTCATCCACTCTCCAGATACCAGGCTGAAGGGGACGAAGATTCAGATGAACTGCAAATGTCCTGCGATATTGATGACAATAATGATAACCCACTTTTTTCGCAAGGGCTAAGAAATGCTCCTGTCCCAAGCCATTATGTGTCACCAAAAATTACAAAGTATGATGGGAGAGGTAACCCAACTAAGCACTTGAATAGTTACAAAACACACATGAGCTTACGAGAGCCTCGCCCATTGTTAAATGTAGAGCTTTCCTTTTGGCTTTAAGCTTAACAGTAGAAATTTGGTACAGGAGAATACTCCCTGTCTTGGGAGTATTAGAAGCTTGCTAAAATTTAAAAGTACGTTCTTCAAACGATTAGCAATGAGCAAAGATGGAGAAGCTCATATCCAGCACCTCCAGGACATGAGACAATAGCCTGGGAAAACGTTGAAATGTTTCCTAACCCGTTCTACCTATAAAATGACCTACTGTGTTCAAGTCATTGACAAGGAAGCGTTATTGGTCTTAAGGAGAGGACTTAACATAAATACCTTCATTTGGAGGGACGTACAAAACCAAGATCCCTCCGACTATAATGCACTGTTAGAAATGATAAGGTGTGAAAGCATTAATGAAAAGTTAATCTACCACCTTAACAGGGCTAGTAGGGGCTCCCATCTCCTCAGAGATAACGAGGAAGAGGATCTACATCCTATCTCATGGACTACCAATGGAACCGGGCCGACCATAAGGCCGCCTCCAATTCAGGGAAAACACTTGCCATAGCTACATTGAACATAGTACCCACACTGGCCTATGAAGACGTAGACTCGAGCACTAGTACACGATTGATTGGGTTTAGATGACGGGTTCGTAGGTCGAACACCCCTAATATTGTGCTTAAAATCATGACACATCAGACTACAGAGATAGTGCCCAACGCCCGGGGCATGCCAACACTTGAACCAATCAAAGAAACGATCTCCTTCTTCTAGGAATCCATCCCTACCTAGGTAGGTCCAAAGACCTAGGTGTGAAGAGCCGAGACCATCCAGTCAGGAAACACCCCCACAGTGGAAACGAGAGAGTAATAGGAAAATGCTCAAAGAGGGGCAGGGACAACGTAGGGACCCCCCAATGAATGTGACAACTGTGCATATTCTCGAAAAAACACGATTTTTGGAGGACCCTACTTATGCTACGAAACAAGGAACTCCAAAAGGAACTATACCAGAGAAGCCAAGGACCTTCCAATGGCTAGCTACATTGTCGATAACAGTTTCTGGGGAAGACAACTACCACCTATCACTTTCACCCATGAGGATGTGGAGGGAGTGCACTACCCCCATTGTGACACCCTTATAGTGAAAGTAGTTGTGACTCTAACAAGTTGAAACGGATGCTAGTAGACAACGGTATATCCATCAACATCCTTTTTGGAATCACTTTTGATAAAATGATGTGGACCATCAATTTACTCCCATCAACTTCGTAAGGCATTCCTAACGGGGGAGACCCATTACCATGATATGGGAAAGCTAGCTCTAGCCCTAATCACCTCGTCTAGAAAGCTAAGGCCATACTTCCAAGCGCACAACATACTTGTATTGACCAACTTTCTATTTAAACAAGTGCTTCAAATGCCCGATGCTTTAAGAAGTTTTTTTGAAGTGGGCTATAGAGCTTAGTGAATTTGACATTATTTTTAAAGTAAGAACCTCTATCAATGGTCAAACCTTGCGGACTTTATGGCAAAATTTTCCAATGTCCTAGAAATGAAGAAAGTGATGGAGCCTACGGAACCTCTCACATGGAACCTATTTGTAGATGATTCATTCGGGGAGATGGGCTCAGGAGAGGGCTCGGTCCTAATCAGTCTCGAAGGTCACAAAATTAATTGTGCGATAAGGCTCAGATTTATGGCTACTAATAATGTAGCAGAATACAATGCACTGCTAGTCGATCTTAGATTGGCCAAAGAGATGCAAGTGAAAAGGCTGCTCATTAATAGCGATTCCCAACTAGTAATTAGCCATGTTAATGGCAACTTCACTGCAAGGGACAAGGGTATGACTAAATACTTCAAAATGCTAATGGACTTATTCCCATCTTTCAACAAGTTTGAGCTAGCCTAAATTCCATGCATGGAAAATGCACATGCCGACCAATGCCTTATCAAAGATAGCTAGTAGTAGAGATTTTGAACTACTAACGTTGGTGCCAATTGAACACCTACCTAGACCGGCAATTGCTAAAGGAGAACATGTGATGTAGTTAGAAGGCACGCCTACATGGATGTAACCTATAATAGCCTTCCTTAAGGACCAGGTCCTCCCCAATAACAAAGAGAAAGCACACAAACTTAGAAGAATGGTAGCAGACTTTGTTTTCTAGAATGATGTGCTCTATAAAAGAGGTTTTCCTTAACCCTCATTCGTTGCATTGGAGGGGAAGAAACTATTTATGTCTTCCGTGAAATCCATTAGGGTGTTTACAGTAACCAAACCAGAGGACTCACATTGGCATAGAAAGTACTTCGACAAGGATACTATTGGCCTATGTTAAAAAAAGATGCGATCTAATTTGTGCAGAAGTGCGATAAGTGCCGACATTTCTTTCCTATCTAGAGGCAACATTCCTACACTACAAGAAAAATGAGCTTTTGCAACACTTAAAAGGCAACATTCATTCTTAAATGTTACTAAAGGGGGTCTACCGCAACGTTTGAGCGTGGGAATGTTGCTAAAGGGGTTTATGACAACGTTTTTTAAATGAATGTTGCAAAAAGTGACTTTTCGCAACGTTTATTGAATGTATGAACGTTGTTAAAAGTCTCACTTTTTTCAACATTTTTTTATCGTTACGAAAAGTCTCACCTTTTGCAACGTTTTTTAAACGTTGCAAAAAGTACTTTTCGCAAGATTTTTTAAATGTTGCTAAAGGTTAACTTTTCACAACGTTTATTAAACGTTACGAAAAGGGAAGCCCATTATTTAGCCCAATGTTAGCCCTAATCTCGTCACCGCTCATCACCTCTCTTTTCTCACTCTTTCATTCAAATCCATCATTTTCTTCCACTACCACGAAGGCAGTCGCTGACTATAGAGGCATCTACATGTTACAGGGAGTTGGGTGGCGAAGAAGAGCTGGAAGGAGAACTGAGTGTCTCTCTCAGCAGTGATTATGATGCTACAAGGAATACCTCCGCGGAGGAGGCAATCGGGAAGGGGCAGTTAAGGGCGAAACTTGCAATTACTCCGATTTCCTCTTCCCTAAATCCAATTCAAAGCCCGTAAGTACAACCTCATCTTTTTCTTCCACATCGATGTTGCCCGGAAAATCGTGGGTGAAAGTATGAAATCGCTACTTGCTAGCGCAATTCCAACTCTGGCTCTCCTGTCAATATCGTTGGCAGATTCTGGAGTTTTCACTGGCCGCTGACACGTACCTATTCTTGGAGAGAAAAACCAATTTCCATGTAAGTTTTTCTCTTTTCTATTTATTCTACCTTCTTTTGTTTAAGCATTTCATATGCTATACCGGTGAGCACTTTTACATTGCTAGGACTGGGGTATGTGTCCACATTTGCCCCCACAGCGGCCAAAACTTTCTTTGCTCAGTGTGGTTCAGCCTCATTTGTTTGCACAAGTAAAGAATAGAGAAGGAAGAAACCCCCTTTTTCTTTCCTTCTTCAAGTTCATTTTTGTGTACAATATTAGAATAAGAAAGTTGTTTTATATGTGTAATATTTGAAATTTCATTGATCATCAATTCATGGTTTGAGATGCCTCTGTGGGTCTCAAGTGAGAATGTAATCTCAGCACTTGTAGAGTAAAAATTGAAGTTCTGAGCAGCACCTATTTTCCTGGCTAAGACCGAATTAGTGCATTGTATTTTTATTATTTTTTACGGGTTACATGATGATGGAAGACTCCGCTTCCTATGCAATTTTCTTGGAGCCCCAATTATGGTGTTTTTTTTTTTTATTTTATTAAAAAGAGCTGTTACAGTGGTTTGAAAAGGTTCTTTGTTGTCTTTTATGGGCGAGTGTAGCTGAGATGAAGATGTTAATTAAATACATCATTTAATTGAGTGTAGCTGAGATGAAGATGTTAAGATGGATTTGTGATAAAACAAAGAAGAGATATGATAAGAAATAAGTATGCGAGTTGTCTTAATAAAATGCTAGAGAACCATTTGAAATAGATTGTCCATATTAAAGGAAGTTTGCTAGTTAGTAAAATTGATGGAATTATTTATTGATGATAAACACAGAAAAAGTGGTTGACTTAATACCAAAGGATTAAAATTAGCAAATGGAAAATGAGACTTTGTGGTTTGACTTGGAGATGACCTTTAATCAAGTGGAGTGAAGAAAATTATCCATTAAACAAAATTTTAATGTATGGATAAGGCTTTGTCAAGTTGAATTTTGATTATATATTAAGCTAGCATTTTGAAAACCTCTTTTTTTTTTTCTCTTTTAAATTCACTGGTGTTTCCTTAGTAACTGTTTCCTGTCTTGCGCATTATTTTTCTTGTGCAATGCAGAGAAAGTCACAGAAAAAGCAAAAACATTTTCAGTGGTAAGAATTGTCTTCCGATGGATAATGTTTCAGTTCTAGAGCGAGCTATTAGAAATTATTTTGCATGTTGAAAAAGGTTTTTGAAAATCAGAATTTGTATGAGTTGTTCAACTGAATTTTACTTTTGCCCCTTATGAAAATGTTATTGTGTGGTCGCAGGAAGACAAGGAGAAACTCGAGAAGCAATTGCATGACATGGCAGTAGCTATTGAGGGATTAGAAAGTAGTAGGCAAAAACTAATGATAGAGGTACATTTTTTCCACTTTAATCTCGTGTAGCATCAAGAACCAAAATTCATCTTTTATGTTATTGAAATAATCACAAAATTTACCTCCACGATGATGATGACGTGTGGGGTGTTTCGGTTGCTCAAATCAACGAATGTTACTTGCAAAATGAGGTCGGGGCTTTGTCCCCCGTTGTACCTCCGGCGTGAGAATTAGTAGTCGATTTTAGGGAGTAAACAGAGAGTATATGAGCATTCAATAAGTTCGAGTTCCAAGAGGAAACTCCCTTTCTTACCTTGGAGGTATTTATAGGCACCAGTTGCTACACATTCGGCGGTTGCTGGTGCCACATGTCCTACGTAAACCTTCCA